TGAATTTTAATAAGTTTATATGGGTTGTTATTTTATTCGAATATTATTAATTTGTTTTAAAAATAGCATAACTTAATTTAAACTAATAAATATAAACAAATTTTAATTTAAATTAACTATAGTATTCATTGATTTATTGCCTCATCAAGTCATTCGCTAATTGATTGCCTTATCAGTTTATTCATTAATTTATTACTTTATCAGTTCACTGAATTATCGTAGAAACCAAGAAATGGAATGATTTTTCTTTTTTTTTTTGATTTAATGATTGTGAATTTTATCAAAACAATAGTTAATTGCTGAGATAAATTGTTATAATATAAGATTATAAGCAATTAAATCTATCCTTTAGCTTATTAAGAGAGATTGATAAGTTGATATAATGTGATATCCTTGTAATTCATGCGAATAAATCTTCAGTTATAAAATTAATTTATTTCAAATTCGAAAAACCATCCTAAGAGTACAATACGAATTGAAATTATAGCATAAATCATTATGAAATTGAAATTATTATCAGGATAATTTAGTAAAAAAGAATATGATAGTAATAAAAGATACTGTTTTGAAGGGAAATTTTAATGATTCCTTTTTCTGATAATGAATATCAGAATATTTTATCAAATTTATTTAATCATTTAATGAATGAATGATTTGTTTAAACAGAATTAAAAGAATGATTAATTATTACTTTAAGCAGTATACAAACTGAAACGATTAAGTAATGGTACAATTCAAATAGTTAATTTGAGTAAAATATACAGAATTTCTCGATCAAACATTATCAATCAAAATGAAAACACCTGGATAAATAAATGATAATTGATGAACAATGGTTAAAGAAGCGGCAAAAGGATAACAATGAAATTCCCTTGAGGCGCAAACATCCCATCCAGTTACATCACTTGAAATACATCAAATCGGCATGCTATGTTTGTTATGATTATTATTACTGTCGGCTTATTCCTTTTTTAATTCATACTTAAAAGACATATACCGCCCGGAACAAAGGGTCATCTTTTGTGATGTTCAGGAAGCTTGTAGGCATGCTTTTATAATGATTTCAATATAATGCGCCAAAAAAAAAGAAAAAATTTTTTTTATTCTTGCAGCTGGCTTTTTAACCTCTTCTTTTATCCTGTCACACTGTTATGTGACATTTCAACATCCTTAATTTCATAAGACAAAAAAAAAAAAAAGCTAAAGAAAATAGGTTAAACTATTTGTATATTTTTGGGATGAAAATTTATTCTCATTAATAATAATGATGATTTTTCCTCATAACAATCATTATTATCATTATCATAAATTATTTGTTGTTTTTTATTTGCAGAATAGCACTGTGAATGTTGGAATTGTCATATATTGTTATCATTGTTATCATCAGTTGTTATCATCATTCGAATCATTATCATTATCATCTTCATCAATTCATTAGCAATGCTAATAATTATTTGAGCTAGCTTAATTATTACCCTTACTAATTATAACTACAAATCTATATGTTAGCTATCAAAATTATTTTTCTTTATGATATTAGCTAATATATTTTTTCTGACAAACTATTATATATTATTATCCATTCATCCATACCTTACTTAAAAACTTTACAACTATGATAATGTATATTGCAATATGCAAATAACATATAACATGCTAAAATGCATGTATTCCTATATCCTACACTTCCATTATGATATACATTTGAATAAACTTTTAAAGTATAAGTATCAACTTTTTTAAAAGTAATAATAGTAGCAGATACAGTTGTGCATGCACTATCCAATATAACAGGTGCAGTTGCATGCACTATCCAATATAATAGGTGCAGTTGCACATGCACTATCCAGTATAGTAAGTACAATTGCATGCACTATCCGGTATTTTCCATTACTTGTTTTTTGACATGTGAAATACAATCACTTCCAACAGGAACCCTTCAATTAAAAAAAAAGAAACCGTACGGAATACATGCAGCTAATACGGAATAACCGGAAATAAAATTTGAAGTGTTCTTTTTTTACTGATCAAACACAATATGAATGCAACTTATAGGAATGATTTTGGATGGAACAGTAGGGGGTAGTTCTTTTTTTTTTTACTCCATGAAATATAATCACCGAAGTAAATAAATCCCGAAGTTATTGTCACCTATAACAGGTGCTAAAGAGGTAGGTGTGAGGGAGTGAGAAAGAGACTTCTCAGGTGACATTTGAATGAATATACATCTAAGCCATCTTTTATTTCACAATCATCTTAATGATATTGTTGTTTTTGTTATTATTACTGCTACAATATATGACCATCTGGCTAATTTTTTCATATTTTCAATAAATTTTCCAAAAAAAAATTCAAAAATTCTTAATGAATTAACAGATATGTAAAGTTAATAAAGTGTGATGTCAATTTGTCACAATCATATCATTATGTAAAGGTCATCAGAAAAAAAAGGTTAAAATTAGGTTAAATTATGTAAGCAAGTATTAAATATTTATATAAATAAAAAGATTTTTTTTTCGAATTTTACTGTAAAAACTAATAATACCTATTAATAATTGGAAATTTCTGGATCACATTTCCGGAAATCGAAATGATATATTCAAAAGATTCCAATATTATCCTATTTTGGATAATAAATTAAACTGGATTAAGCATATTTTGTTGATAAAGTTAATATATATACTTTTATATAACAATCGGTTGAACATTTATCATTTCGATTATCCATTTATTTCATCATCAAGTAAAATTATCACTTATTATTTACTGCCATTTACATTTGTCACTTACATCTTTCGTATATGTATATATCATTTTAGATTACCTTTTATTTCTTTATCAGGTAAAATTATCACTTATTATTTACTGTCATTTACATTTGTCACTTACATCTTTCGTATATGTATATATCATTTTAGATTACCCTTTTTATTTCTTT